GCCTGGCCCGCCCTCAGCCTCCTTGCCCTCCCCGCCCCCATGCTGCATGCTAGGGGAATCAGGCGGCCCAGGCATCCGGAGGGCCCCCAGACATGATCTCATACCCGCTCAGCCTCCTCTAATGGGCGGTGTTGCCCCAGGAGCAGGTACAGGACCACAGACTTCAGGAAGAGGGTGGGGATCCAGGCACCAACCCAGGGCTCCCAACACCACTTCTCTGCCACATCATGGTGCCTGTCACTCTCCAGCCACCATCTGAAGAAACAGATTCTAAGAATGCAGTAGGAACCCAAGGACCCCAACCTGGAATCCAGGAGTCTTCAGGTTGTTGCCTACCTCTTCCTGGGGTAGAAGCCCCCCTGTACCTCCTTGACCTACGAGGAGGATGAGAAGATGTGTACCTCAGTGTGACCCAGCATGGTTGCTTTCCGGGTACCTGCTCTTCCGGGACTTCTGAGACTTCTGCCTGAACCACCTGGAGGAGGCCAAGCCCTTGGTGGAATTCTATGAGGAGGTGAGGTGCAGGCCCCTGCCCTGCCTGGAGAAGGGGGAGGAGGCTGGCGCAGCTTCGTTAAAATCTACAAGGCGCCGGGCCATGGTAGCCCTGTGCCCTGCTGTGAGTAGATCACCCAGGGGAATCTTGTCTTCCAGATCAAGAAATACGAGAAGCTGGAAACAGAAGAGGAGCGGGTAGCCCGTAGCCGGGAAATCTTCGACTTCTACATCATGAAAGAGCTGTTGGCCTGCTCACATGTGAGCATCTCTGGCCAGCTCATCCTCAGGCTTGGACCCAAGCACTGACCCTGAATGACCCCAGGGTAAGAGGGGAAAGAAAGGACCTTGCAGAGAGAATTCACAGCCACCTCTTTCTTTCTCAGCCGTTCTCAAAGAGTGCCACTGAGCATGTGCAAGGCCACCTGGTGAAGAAGCAGGTGCCCCCAGACCTCTTCCAGGTGGGTGCAGGGAGTAGTTCCTCACCCAGCCAGGGTCTTCCTGAGACCGCCCCCAGTCAAGGAGCCTGGAGGCAGGGCCCCGGCAGCCAGGGCCCTGAGGGCTCGGTCACCAACTTCTAGCTTCCTCCCTTAGCCATACATCGAAGAGATTTGTCAGAACCTCCGAGGGGACGTGTTCCAGAAGTTCATCGAGAGGTAAGTGTAGGGAGAGGAAGGCCCCTCTGAGGAGGGGTGTGGATGGTGAGGACAGAGGCAGCTCCTTCGGGGACTCCTGAGAGATCACACAGTCATGTCAGCTCCTTGCCCTCAGCACCAGACATCTCACAGCCTGTCCCAAGCGATTCTCCAGGTAGCCAGGGACCACCCATGCATCTTTTCCTCCTATGGGTGCCTAGAACCTTGTTGGGCCCATCTGATCTGAGACACATCAAGGTTGTAGAAATCCTACCTTCATTTGCTGGATTATGGGAGTCCTGGGTAAATTTCAGCTTGATGTGAGGAGCGGGGTATTTTTAGGATTACAGCTGCCCTGCCATGTAGTGAGCTCTGTCTCAGGAGGTATGAGAACAGGATGGAGTAAGCAAGAAATCTGGGCTGGACAGGAAGACCTGCTCTCTAAGCCTACCTGATCTCAGCAGGAGCCCATAGCTAGCTGCCACATCAGGTGGACAGGCCGAGCAGGACACTCGGTCTCAGGGTGTTCCGCAGATCTACCCAGTATGGCTCCAGGGAATAATAGTGGGGTGGAATGGGGCAGGCTCCTGCTAGCCTCATTCCGCTCACTTTCTAAGGCTCACCTGAACCTGGGATTTTCTCTTACAGTGATAAGTTCACACGATTTTGCCAGTGGAAGAATGTGGAGCTCAACATCCATGTGAGTGGGACTGGGTAGGCAGAGAGCTGTGCTCCCTGCTGCTCCTCTCCGGGGGTTGGCCGGTGGCTTGGCCAGAGCTGGGAACCAGAATCACTCACAGGGAGGCTGGAGGCAGGTGGGCATGTAGAAGGGAGGCCACGTGCTGCCCAGGAAGGGTCCTGAGCTGTAGGACATGGTGCAGGGCCAGTCCCTGCTGCCTGCAGTGACCCCTGCTGTTGCCACCTCTGCAGCTGACCATGAACGACTTCAGTGTGCATCGCATCATTGGGCGCGGCGGCTTCGGCGAGGTGTATGGGTGCCGGAAAGCTGACACGGGCAAGATGTGAGCAAGCTGTGGGTGAGGGAGAGCTAGGGCTCTTAGGTGCCTTGGAGGCATCCGGCATCCCTGGGAAGTGCTGCAAGGGACTGAATTTTCCAGGCCTAGAGGGCTTGAATGGACAGATCTCTGCACAGGGTCACGTGCTGTCCCCACCATCTGTCTCATTTGTACCGTTTACCCCTGACCTGCCAGCACCATCTTCTGTCCTCTTGAAGTCACTGATGCATGTTCTGTATTGAGTCTTAACTGTGAGAGCCCTCAGAGGTCGGCAGCCATCCATTCCCCACCCCTACTCTAGGTACGCCATGAAGTGTCTGGACAAGAAGCGCATCAAGATGAAGCAGGGGGAGACCTTGGCCCTGAATGAGCGCATCATGCTCTCCCTCGTCAGCACTGGGGTGAGTCAGGCGGGTCCAGGCTGGCCACCAGAGCAGCTTTGGCTCTGGGGCCTTGGGCAGACCCTCTGACCAGCCTCTCCCCTCCTAGGACTGCCCCTTCATCGTCTGCATGTCGTATGCATTCCACACGCCGGATAAGCTCAGCTTCATCTTGGATCTCATGAATGGTGAGTGTGGGGCCTCGCCCTAGGGTGGACCTTGGACTGGCGGCTGCGTAGGAAGCTGAGCGCCACCCTGCTGGCTGCCCTCCTTAGGTGGGGACTTGCACTACCACCTGTCCCAGCATGGGGTCTTCTCCGAGGCCGACATGCGCTTCTATGCAGCCGAGATCATCCTGGGCCTAGAGCACATGCACAACCGCTTCGTGGTCTACCGGGACCTGAAGGTGAGGCTCCGTTGCTGCCCTTCAGGCTGGGCCCCCACTGCCATCCCCTCCTCCCCTCAGTACACATAGCCCACCAGCCCCAGGGGAGTGGAATTCCTCAGACAAGGCCAACTCTGTCTCCTGAGCCCTTTTCAACCCTCTTCCTTCCATCCCAAGCGACTTTTCTCTATTCATGTGTGATGGGGGAAGGAGAAGACCCAACTAGGGCCCTGCCCGTGGACACCTGTAATCCATCTCGCCTGGCTGGGGCCCATCCTCAGCCACCTGGGCGACAGCTTACTGGGCTTCCCCCACAGCCAGCCAACATCCTTCTGGACGAGCACGGTCATGTGCGGATCTCAGACCTGGGCCTGGCCTGCGACTTCTCCAAGAAGAAGCCCCATGCCAGCGTGTGAGTGCTCCAGCTGCCACCTCCCTCCCCGTATCCTCTCACACTCCCACTCACCACCTCCTTACCCACAGGGGCACCCACGGGTACATGGCGCCTGAGGTCCTGCAGAAGGGCGTGGCCTACGACAGCAGCGCCGACTGGTTCTCCCTGGGCTGCATGCTCTTCAAGTTGCTGCGGGGGTGAGTGGCTGTCCCAGGAGGGCAAGGGAGGGGCCAAGAGAAGCTCTGCCCCACTGCAGGTGGGAAGCCAGGCCAGGGGAACCCTCAGCTGCTTGGGTGTTAAGGGCGACAACATCCCTGACTCTGGACAAGGTCTGTTCACATCATCTGCCTCGACTTCCCTATTCCTGATCCTGGTCCTCGGCCTTTCTTTCCCAGACACAGCCCCTTCCGGCAGCACAAGACCAAAGACAAGCACGAGATCGACCGCATGACATTGACAATGGTGAGTGAGAGATCTCCATGCAGGGCCACATTGGGGCTGGGGGTCTCCTTGGGTGCCAAGGTTGTGGACTGGCTCTCACAAAGCAGCAGAGGTCTCAGGCTGCTGATGCCCTCTGGCCCTGTGAGACAGACTCCTGGCTCTGTAGGCTCCTGCTGTCCCTCCCTTGTGTTGTCAGGGCACACGTGGCCAAGTTAGGAAGCTGAGCCTGTCTCTCCCACTGCTGGTGTCTGGGGCCCCTCCCCACCCACAACTGAGATGCGGTCAAAGCCTTTTCCTCACTCCCTGCCAATGTCCCATTTCTCCTCCCCGAAGGCCGTGGAGCTGCCCGATTCCTTCTCCCCGGAACTCCGCTCCCTGCTGGAGGGGTTGCTTCAGCGGGATGTCAACCGGAGACTGGGCTGCCTGGGCCGTGGGTGAGTGGCATGGTTCCTCAGGCATGCTGCCCTGTCTAGGCCTCTGCCCTGGGCCTCTGGGCCAGCCTGCCCAGGTCTCTGACTGTCCCTCCCCGCAAGGACCATGGCTGTGTCTTGTTATTGGAGTGCCCTCCATGGTCCCAGCCTCCTTTGAAGAGCTCCCAAGTGGGGGCATTGCCAGCCCTGGCCAGTGTTTTGGGGTGGAGGGGCAGCGGGATGTGGAAATGCCAGAGCCTGCTGGCTACTCAAATCCAGGGGAGCCCTTGTAACAAAGATGATGATGCCAATAGCAGCTTTTTATGACTACTATGTTTACTGACTACTGAGTGTGTGCTGCAAGATACGCCAGTATTAAAGCTCACACTGACCCTATGGATAGGAACTGCTGCTCATCCCTTTAGAGATGAGAAAACAGACTCAGCTTTAAGGAACCTGCCCAAGGTCCCAGAGCCAAAGAGAGACTGAACCAGGAGTTAAGCTAGGCCACCTGACAGTGGTTGGTTCAGAATTAACCTGATTTAGGGCGATGCCAAGCCCTGGTGACAGGCATCTCCCCACAGAGCTCAGGAGGTAAAGGAGAGCCCCTTCTTCCGCTCCCTGGACTGGCAGATGGTCTTCTTGCAAAAGGTAAGAGACTGTGGCAGAGGCCAGGGAGGGCACTGCAGCAGCTCCTCATGCTAATATATGATGACCCCTGCTCTACTGCAGTACCCACCCCCGCTGATCCCCCCAAGAGGGGAGGTGAATGCAGCTGATGCCTTCGACATTGGTTCCTTTGATGAGGAGGATACGAAAGGAATCAAGGTACTCGGGACTCCCACACCTGAGTCCTAAGCCTAGCCTGCATGGTCTCCTGGTCCTGGGCCTCAACACCCCTTCCCAAACTTTCCTGGGCAGGGGTTGGGGGGTTGGTCCAGACCGTTCTTGCCCCGGGGCCCTATGGCTGAAGGGCCCTGGCTCCACCTGACTCTCCATGTGTCCCTGCCCTGCCCACCGGTGAAGCTACTAGACAGTGATCAGGAGCTCTACCGCAACTTCCCCCTCACCATCTCGGAGCGGTGGCAGCAGGAGGTGGCAGAGACCGTCTTTGACACCATCAATGCTGAGACAGACAAGACTCCTGGCTCGGTAGGCTCCTGCTGTCCCTCCCTGGTGTTGTCGGGGCACACGTGGCCAAGTTAGGAAGCTGAGCCTGTCTCTCCCACTGCTGGTGTCTGGGGCCCCTCCCCACCCACAACTGAGATGCGGTCAAAGCCTTTTCCTCACTCCCTGCCAATGTCCCATTTCTCCTCCCCGAAGGCCGTGGAGCTGCCCGATTCCTTCTCCCCGGAACTCCGCTCCCTGCTGGAGGGGTTGCTTCAGCGGGATGTCAACCGGAGACTGGGCTGCCTGGGCCGTGGGTGAGTGGCATGGTTCCTCAGGCATGCTGCCCTGTCTAGGCCTCTGCCCTGGGCCTCTGGGCCAGCCTGCCCAGGTCTCTGACTGTCCCTCCCCGCAAGGACCATGGCTGTGTCTTGTTATTGGAGTGCCCTCCATGGTCCCAGCCTCCTTTGAAGAGCTCCCAAGTGGGGGCATTGCCAGCCCTGGCCAGTGTTTTGGGGTGGAGGGGCAGCGGGATGTGGAAATGCCAGAGCCTGCTGGCTACTCAAATCCAGGGGAGCCCTTGTAACAAAGATGATGATGCCAATAGCAGCTTTTTATGACTACTATGTTTACTGACTACTGAGTGTGTGCTGCAAGATACGCCAGTATTAAAGCTCACACTGACCCTATGGATAGGAACTGCTGCTCATCCCTTTAGAGATGAGAAAACAGACTCAGCTTTAAGGAACCTGCCCAAGGTCCCAGAGCCAAAGAGAGACTGAACCAGGAGTTAAGCTAGGCCACCTGACAGTGGTTGGTTCAGAATTAACCTGATTTAGGGCGATGCCAAGCCCTGGTGACAGGCATCTCCCCACAGAGCTCAGGAGGTAAAGGAGAGCCCCTTCTTCCGCTCCCTGGACTGGCAGATGGTCTTCTTGCAAAAGGTAAGAGACTGTGGCAGAGGCCAGGGAGGGCACTGCAGCAGCTCCTCATGCTAATATATGATGACCCCTGCTCTACTGCAGTACCCACCCCCGCTGATCCCCCCAAGAGGGGAGGTGAATGCAGCTGATGCCTTCGACATTGGTTCCTTTGATGAGGAGGATACGAAAGGAATCAAGGTACTCGGGACTCCCACACCTGAGTCCTAAGCCTAGCCTGCATGGTCTCCTGGTCCTGGGCCTCAACACCCCTTCCCAAACTTTCCTGGGCAGGGGTTGGGGGGTTGGTCCAGACCGTTCTTGCCCCGGGGCCCTATGGCTGAAGGGCCCTGGCTCCACCTGACTCTCCATGTGTCCCTGCCCTGCCCACCGGTGAAGCTACTAGACAGTGATCAGGAGCTCTACCGCAACTTCCCCCTCACCATCTCGGAGCGGTGGCAGCAGGAGGTGGCAGAGACCGTCTTTGACACCATCAATGCTGAGACAGACCGGCTGGAGGCCCGCAAGAAAGCCAAAAACAAGCAGCTGGGCCACGAGGAAGGTGAGGGTCACTGGTTGCCCCGGACACCAAGCCCATGGCCTGCCTTGGGAATGGGAAGCAGGCCTGGAGTAAGGACCTTGCCTGAGGTCACAGCCAGAGAGGGGCTGGGCCAGGCTGAACCTGCCTCTCTCTTGGGTCAGACTACGCCCTGGGCAAGGACTGCATCATGCATGGCTACATGTCCAAGATGGGCAATCCCTTCCTGACTCAGTGGCAGCGGCGGTACTTCTACCTGTTCCCCAACCGGCTCGAGTGGCGGGGTGAGGGCGAAGCCCCGGTAAGGAGCGACTGGTGGGGTCGGGAGTCAGCGCCTGGGTGGCTGACTGGGCTGGCCCCTCATGCTCACCGCCCCTCCCTGGCCCTGCAGCAGAGCCTGTTGACCATGGAGGAGATCCAGTCAGTGGAGGAGACACAGATCAAGGAGCGCAAATGTCTCCTACTTAAGATCCGGGGCGGTAAACAGTTCGTTCTGCAGTGCGACGTGAGTGGGGCTGGGTATGGATGGGGGGCAGGCGGCCTGCTGAGGCTGAGTGCCTTGCTGACCACTTGGGCCTGTGCAGAGTGACCCTGAGCTGGTGCAGTGGAAGAAGGAGCTGCGCGATGCCTACCGCGAGGCCCAGCAGCTGGTGCAGCGGGTACCCAAGATGAAGAACAAGCCACGCTCACCCGTGGTGGAGCTGAGCAAGGTGCCGCTGATCCAGCGCAGCAGTGCCAACGGCCTCTGAGCTGCTCGCCCGCCCGCCTGCCCGCCTTTTATAAACCTCTAATTTATTTTGTCAAATTTTTATTATTTGTTTTCCCGCAAAGCGGAAAAAGTTTTATTTTGTAATTATTGTGATTTCCTGTGGCCCCGGCCTGGCCCAGCCCCCAGGGAGGGGCCCGCTTGCCTTGGCTCCTGCTGCCACCAACCCAACCACTGTCCAGCGCCTTTGCCTTGACCCCCAGGGGCCACCCCTCCCAGTGTCTTCCTGTGGGAGGAGAACAGCAGCCCCCACGGCCCTCCTGTCCTTCTCTAGGAGATGTTGCCACACCGAGTTGTGCCACCTGGCTTTGTGGGCTGTACTCTGTGCTCACAGGTGGGGTCTGGTGGCCCAGCATCCCCCACCCCAAGGGCGAGTCCAGCACAGGGATACTACTTGAATTTTCCCATCATGACCACTCTTGAGACAGAAGGACAGACAGGCCCCACACTGTCCTGCTCTCCAGCAGTGGGCAAGAAAGTACGTGGGCTTCTGTGCCCTTGTTCAGGAAAAGCCCCTGTGTCACTGGCTGCCTCTGTCCCCACCTCCCTGAGACACTGTGGAGGGCTGGCCAGGAAGGTGGTTTGGCAGTGGGTGCTGCTGCCGCCTGCAGCTCCCCTTCTATCCACCCCAAGTGTCCAGGCTCAGGGACCACAGAAAGGCACCTGCCGATTGGGCCACTGCGGCTTACTTACCCTGGCCCCACGATCCCCTTGACCATGGGCTGGATGAGGCCTCATCTGCCCAGGACCACAGGGGCCAGCCTGGGTAGGTAGTGCCATGAGCAGGGCCGGCTTGGGCCAGCCTTCCCTGTCCCAGACTGGCCAGTGCCCCCCACCCCACTGGCTGTCCAGGCCCACAGCCCACGTCCTGTCAGTGCCACCATCAAGGGCGCCATCTCGCCCGCCGCATGCCCCCTCGTGCCAGTCGCGCTGCCGTGTGTGGTGTTGCGCCCTCTCCCCGTGGGGCTGGGTTGGCGCTCTCCCTCCCGTCTACTCACTCCCTGGGGCGTTTCTTTGCCGATTTTTGAATGTGATTTTAAAGAGTGGAAAATGAGACTATGCGTTTTTATAAAAAATGGTGCCTGATTCCTCGGCTGTCTCATTCTCTCTTTGTGCCTGGTGACCCGTTTTTAGCCTCTGCAAGGTGAGGCCCCAAGAGGAGAGGGTCTTGGCACTAGGTCCACCCCAGCGCCATGCTCTGATGGGATGGGACGGGGATGCTCATCCTCCCCCCTTAGTGACTACAGCATCCTGGGAAGAGATGGTCTTCTGCCTGCTTCCCAGAGGAGGTGCCAGCAGTTCTGTGCTTGGTGTCACGTTTAGACAGCCTTACTGAGCTCTCTCTGTACTTCAGATGCTGAGGCCCTCTAACTAGGCACCTCACCCTCAGGTCACACTGCAGCCTCTGGGCCCTTGGCTCCTCTGTCCTCAAATGTATGCCCCCATTCAGTAGGGGTCCTGAGGCCTAAGGTGTACTCCAGTATCAGGCTTCGGGTCAACTCTAGCCCCTTTTGGGCAAGTGGGCATATATGTGGGGTTGCCTGCCCCATGTAGGGACCCTCTGGGCAAGGCTGGTGCCAGATGTTCTGGGGTGAATGCTGGAGTCAGAGGAAATGGCTTTTGAGCTGGCATCTAGTGTTGGGATTGGGAGGACTTTTCTGAATCAGAAACAGGCTAGTCATTCATGACTGGCTCAGGCTAGCTGAGCACAAGGGGAAGAGCCATGCCTCGGAGGCCCTGAATGCAGGCATAGCCTAGCACACAGCACACAACACACAGCCTGGGTGTATTGGGGGCTGCAGAATGAAGATATGAATGGCGTGGAACCTGAACCTTACTAAGCCCTGGAGCATTGAAGTTTCTGAACAGGACTGAAACGAGCTGGCTCTGCAACAAATGACTGGTGACTCTAGGAAGGGAAGCCAAAGTTAGGGGCAGGGACACAGGTTAGGGGCTATTGCTGCTGTCCAGGGAAAGGACATCCTAATGCCAGTGGTGGGAGAAGAGAGATGAAGAGGGCCAGATGGGAAGAACATGG